TATCCTATCGTCTGCAAATAATGAAAGTTTAACTTCATCCTTTCCAATTCGAATCCCCTTGATCCCCTTATGTTGTCTTATTGCTATTGCTAGAACTTCAAGCACTATATTGAAGGGGTATGGAGAGAGTGGACAGCCTTGTCGTGTTTCTGATTTTAGTGGAAAGGCTTTGAGTTTCTCTCCATTCAATTTCATGTTAGCTGTCGGCTTGATCTATATTGCTTTTATTATATAAAGTTTGATCCTTGTATCCTCAGTCTCTCCAACACCTTTATCATAAATGGGTGTTGAATTTTGTCAAATTCTTTTTCAGTATCCAATGAAATGATCATATGGTTTTTTTCTTTCAGTTTATTTATATGATGGATTACATTGATAGATTTGCGTATGTTGAACCAGCCCTGCATCTCTGGGATACAGCCCACTTGATCATAATGGATAATTTTTCTAATGTGTTCTTGGATTCGGTTTGCCAGTAGTTTATTGAAAATTTTCGTGTCGATGTTCATGAGTGAGATTGGCCTGTAATTCTCTTTCTTGGTTGTATCTTTGTGTGGTTTTGGTATCAGGGTAACTGTAGCTTCATAAAAGTAGTTTGGCAATGACTCTTCTGTTTCTATATTGTGAAATACATTAAGGAGTATAGGTATTAACTCTTCCTGGAAGTTCTGGTAGAATTCTGCATTAAAACCATCTGGTCCTGGGCTTTCTTTTGGTAGGGATATTTTTGATAATAGATTCTAATTTTTCATGACTAACAGGTCTATTTAGAGTGTTCACCTGTTCTTGGTTCAACTTTGGTATATGGTACTTATCTAAAAAAATGTCCATTTCTTTTATATTTTCCAGTTTGTGGCATACAGGCTTTTGTATTAAGATCTAATGATTCTCTGAATTTCCTCTGTGTCTGTGGTTATGTCCCCCTTTTCATTTCTGATCTTATTAATTTGCATGTTCTCTCTCTGCCGTTTGATTAGTTTGGAGAGGGGTTTGTCGATGTTGTTGATTTTCTCCAAGAACCAGCTTTTAGTTTCATTGATTCTTTGGATTGTTTTCTGTGTTTCTCTTTTGTTGATTTCAGCCCTCAATTTGATTATTTCCAGTCTTCTACTCCTCTTGGGTGAGTCAGCTTCTTTTTTTTTCTAGAGCTTTCTAGTGTGCTGTTAAGTCTTCAATGTGTGCTCTCTCCGTTTTCTTTAATTGGGCACTTAGTGCTATGAAGTTTCCTCTTAGCACTGCTTTCATTGTGTCCCATAGGTTTGAGTATGTTTTGTCTTTATTTTCATTAAATTCAAGGAAGACTTTAATTTCTTTCTTTATTTCTTCCTTGACCCAGGGGTGATTCAGTAGTTGACTGTTCAACTTCCATGAGTTTGTTGGCTTCCTGGGGGTACCATTGTTGTTGAATTCTGACTTTAATCCATGTTGATCTGACAAAACACAGGTGGTTACTAATATTTTTTTGTATCTGTGGAAGTTTGCTTTGTTACCGAGTATGTGGTCAGTTTTCGAGAAGGTTCCATGACCTGCAGACAAGAAGGTATATTCTTTCCTATTTGGGTGGAGTGTTCTATAGATGTCTGTTAAGTACATTTGATTCAATACCTCCAATAATTCTCTTATTTCTCTGTTAGGTTTCTCTCTGATTGACCTGTCCATTGGTGAGAGAGGTATGTTGAAGTTTCCTACTATTAGTGTGTGTGGTTTGATGACTGCCTTGAGTTCTAGACGTGTTTCTTTTGCATATGTGGGTCCCTTTATATTAGGGGCATAGATATTCAGGATTGAGACTTCTTCCTGATGATTTGTTCCTGTTAGGAGTATGAAATGTCCGTCTCCATCTCTTCTGATTGATTTTAGTTTGAAGTCAATTTTGTTGGATATTAGAATGGACATACCCACTTGTTTCTTAGGTCCATTTGCTTGGAAAACCTTTTCCCAACCCTTTACTCTGAGTAGGTGTCTGTCTTTGTGGTTGAGGTGTGTTTCTTGTAAACCACAGAATGTTGGATCCTGTTTTTGTATGCAATCTCTAAGTCTGTCCCTTTTTATAGGTGTATTGAGTCCATTGATGTTAAGTGATATTAATGACCAGTGGTTGTTGACTCCAGTCATTTTTTTTTTTTTTTGGGTAGTAGAGTGTATGTGTTTTCCTTCTTTGAGTTGTACTTGTGAAGGGTCGGTAGATGTCTGAGTTATTGTAGGCAGTGTTGGGAATTATGGATTCCTTGGATTATGATTTTCCTTCTAATATTCTCTGTAGGGCTGGATTTGTAGCTACATATTGTTTAAATTTTTTTTTATCCTGGAATATTTTGTTTTCTCCGTTGATAGTGATTGATAGCTTACCTGGCTATAGTAGTCTGGGCTTGCATCCATAGTCTCTTAGTTTCTGCAGTACCTCTATCCAGGACCTTCTGGCTTTCATGGTTTCCATAGAGAAGTCTGGTGTAAGTCTCATAGGTTTACCTTTATAAGTTACTTGACCTTTTTCTTTTGCAGCTCTTAATATCCTTTCTTTAATCTGAATGCTTTGTGTTTTGATTATTATATGGTGAGGAGATGTTTTTTTCTGATCCAGTCTATTCGGTGTTCTGTAGGCTTTTTGAACCTTCAGAGGAATATCGTTGTTTAGGTTGGGAAAGTTTTCTTCTATAATTCTGTTGAATACATTTTCTGGACCTTTGATCTGCCATTCTTCCCTTTCTTCTTTCCCTATTATTCTTACATTTGGTTTTTTTTTATCATGTCCCAGATTTCCTGAATGTTTTGCGATGATAATCTGTTGGATTTGTTGTTTTCTTTGGTCAGAGCGTTTGTTTTCTCTATGGTGTCTTCATAATCTGAGATTCGTTCTTCTGTCTCTTGTATTCTATTGGTCATGCTTGTTCCTGAAGTCTCTGTTTGTTTACCTAGATTTTCCATATCCAGCCGGCCCTCGGTTTGTGTTTTCTTCATTGACTCCATTTCAGTTTTCAATTCTTGAACTGATTCCATTACCTGTTTCATTGTTTTTTCTTGGTTTCCCAGGGTATCATTTACAAATTTACTCATTTCTTCAAACTTTTTGTTATATTTCTCTTCCATTTCTTTACTCATTTCTTCAATCTTTTTGTTATATTTCTCTTCTATTTCTTTAAGTGAGTTATTCATACCCTGTTTAAGAGACTCTATTGCTTTCATAATGACACTGTTTTCCACTTCTTCCAGAATAGGGTGTTCAAGTCCTTCTGTCATAAGATCGCTGGGATCTGGTGTTTTCATGTTGCTTTTCAGATAGTTGGAGGAATTCTTGCCTTGGCGCCTACCCATCTCTTCCTTCAGATGCTTTCCAATGGCTCTTCCCTCCGCTGGGTCTTCTGATACAGGATAAGTGCCCCTTGATAGCCAGGAATTACTTTGCCTGCAGTCCTACCTTGCTGCAGGCAGGCTATTCAAACAAAGGAACTCCCTCCTGCCTGTTTGCACTCATCGCCCCATCCATTGGCGCCCACACCGGCTGAGGTGGAAGATTTTATGCCCTGAAAAAGGGAGAGAGTAAGGGAAGGGGTTCCTGGCTGAAAGCAGGGATGGGGAAGGAGGAGAGAGGGTTTAGCTGGGGGAAGCCGCCCCTTCAGAATACCCAGGGAGATAAGGATGGCAGGAAAATTGTGTGTTCCCTTACCAGGCTTGTGTGGTGGGTCAGGAGCACACTTACCCCTCCTTTGTATCTTCTGCTACAGGATCAGTGCCAGTTGCTGGTCAGAAATCTCCCTGCCTGTAGTCTTACCTTGCTGCAGGCACCCTATTAAAACAAAGGAAGTCCCTCCTGCCCATTTGCACTCACTGCCCCATCCCGGCAGTGCCAATGGTGGGCTTTTTTGTTATTATATTGTTGTATGGTGGTTTTGTTCCTATCAAGCATATGCTGTTGTGCTGAGCTTCACCCAGATCTTGAATTTTAAAATTTGACAGAGGGTATCATTATGTTTCCCAGGATGGCATGTACTCATGAAATTAATACTGCCAGTGCCTTCAGTGTTATTGGATTATAGGTACATAACCTTCTTCCTGCCTGTTTTGTTTGTTTTGAATTTTTATTTTAAAAAAAGTATTATACCTGGATGCATGGATATGTACCATGTGAGTACATGGTCCTTACATTGATAAAGAGATGGTATTAGAAACCTTGAACTCGGAATAATGGATAGTTGTGATTCCCCCATGTAATTCCTTGAGCCCACCTGTATGCAAGAATAGGAGAACTCTTTGCTGTTGAGCCATCTTTCCTGCTCTGTGTTGATTATTTGTAATCAGCATATTAATTTCTATTGTTTTCATTTGTCCATTTGTAATTTTTTAAACACACAGTGCCTTTTAGTAAAATCTCATTTTTGTTGCAGTTTAAATTGGGCAACTTTAGGTTTCTGGTAGATGAATAAACAGTTGAAGTGAATGTGTAACTCTTTGTAGAAAGTTTAGCAAAAACCTATGAGTTATTTCTAGCCTTTATGTTTCTTTGATTAATTTTTTTCCATGTGAAATAGGCATTTAACATGTATTTCTGGCTACCCTAGAAGTGATTGCATGAACTAGGGTGATTTTCAACTCATGGTCAGATAGATATACATGCCTCTGCCTTCTGAGTGCAAAGATTAGAGGCATGATTCAATGCATCTAACTTTTTCATTTTATTTTCTTTTTGTAGTTAGAAATTAATCATTCATACAATTTTTTTTATCTGTACTCTATACTGGTGACCTGTTTATGTATCTTTCATTGTTGGTTAGTAGGCATTTCTCTTGCAAGGTGATATCCCATTCAAAGGGTTCAGAAATGACAGAGGTGAACCTCCTATTCAGTTTGCCTCTGAAGTGACTTGGTGATTAAATTATGATGTCTTTGTCATGGAATATGTATGGGGAGAACCAGAATTATATGAATATACTGTCAAAGAAGTATACATTTGCAGTGTTGTCAAAATCATACTTTCTGTTGTACACCTATATGGGATATTTTAGAATTCAGTGACCTATGATGACGTGCATGTCGACTTCACTTGGGAAGAATGGACTTTGCTGAGTCCTTCTCAGAAGAATCTCTACAAAGATGTGATGGTAGAAACCTACAGAAACCTCACTACTACAGGTAAGACTATATTATCTTTCATGTTTCATATAAGGAAACAACTATTCATTGGTTAATGATGCTCTTTTGTAATATGATTGAGAAAGAAGAATGGGGTAAATAAATCAGGCATGGTTGTAAGGTTTGCTTCAAACGGTAACTAAATTTTTTACAATTTTTAACATAAAACATACAATTTCTGGCATTATATTTTAGGATACGGTTGGGAAGACCATAATATTGAAGAACATTGTCAAAATTCTAGAAGACATGAAAGGTAATTTTCATGTATAAGTTGATAGAAGTGTACCTCTGAAGAATTTGTAATTAATTCTATATGTTTTAAACAAAAGCAACAATGTAAATAATAAAGTAAGTTGATGTTTATTAAATTCTCACAAAATCATATACCTTAATTTCAGATAGGTGAACTACATTTGCAAGTCATTCTTTTAAGAAAGAAGAAAACAATGTCTTAACCTATATTACCATTTGAATCATAATACAAGGAGAGCTATACTGTACAGTTGTCAATCCATTTATCTCATATTATTCATATTATGAAAGATATACATGTTGATTAGGTGATAAGTAGATCTCTAAAACTATCTATTACACTAATAGTCCATAGAAAAGGTAGTTTAACCCATATACTTGTGGCTGTGTTAAGTTTAGTGAGGAGGCATTTAGGGTTATGAATCAAGGGGCAGCTGTTTTGCAGTGGCCTTAATCCATATACCACAAGTCTATGAGGACAGAAAGTCAAACTGGGTGAACTCAATGTGGAAACCTTATATTTGTTATTCTTCCTTTACTAGGTACATCATATATTACTCTGGATACAAGCCACATGAGCATAGGGATGTGAAAAGATATAACATACCTCTCTCTCAGAACAAATATAAAATATGTAGCAGTCCCCATGTTGAGTATACTTGTTGAATTTGATATACACGTATACAAGTAATTGGTTTTCTAGTCCCATTGTTAATATATCAACAAATTCACATTTTAGAAAAGCACCATGAGTACTAGGACTGTGTAAATAGTTCTGTTTGTCCTAGTTCACTTAGCAAATGTAGCATCACTCGCGGTATAGGAAACGTTATGAATACAATAAGAGTGGTAACGCTCTGAGTTTTTCAGTTCTCTTCAAATACATGAAAATTCTCATATAAAAAAAATTCTGTAAATGTGAACCATGTTTTAAAGGCTGTTTTAAGTTATCTTCAATGATGAAAAGCAAGCCTTAATGAAGGGGAAAAACAAGATTGTAAACAAGGTGATAAAACCTTAACATATAATTCCTCTTTAAAATAGGACTAAATTGTAAAATTAATTTCTTCAGATAAAAATATTCAATAATGTATTAAATGTAGTAATGCTTTCACATGTACCATTATAACTGTAGGCATGAAAAAAGTCAATCTAGAAAGAAACAGTCTGAATATACTCAATGTGTTAAAACCTTTGCATGTGACAGTCATCTTCACAGTCATGAAAGAATCCATACTGGAGAGAAACCCTATGAATGTAATCAGT